CGCGCCCTCCAGCGGCGAAAATTACATATTGTGCCTTTAAGTTGATAATTCTGACCCCATATTTCATCTTACTTAATTTTGATAGTTCTTCAAGAAAACAATGCTACTTATGTTATTTAGCATTTTCAGTATTTTTGTCTTGTTTTCCAGTACAAATTTCTAAACGCTCTTAAATCAAGGTCTATTCACTTGAAATGCAAGATGAAATGCAAAAAGTATTTTTTCTAACCAAGTTTATGCTTAAAATGGGGTCAGAAAAATAAACTTGAATTAAGGCTGATTTTCATATGCACATTTTTGTCCAATCAGATGTTGTCTTGAATGAGAATGCCCCACCCCCTGACCCTGATATGAATTCATTAGTGTTATGATATTAATTTGCTATTTAAACAACCCTTTGATATGTCACGTCCTGACTACTTATTAGGAAGTATTATTAAAGTAAATTTGTCAGTTTTGATGTCATGTTGACTTTAAGGCTCGAGGCTGGTAAAATTATGAATTATCAAACCAGAAGTTTGCTGGTTCAGTCGTCATAAGGTGTGATTTGACACCACTGTGTCCTTGAGCAAGACTCCAAACCTGTTCTGGTAATATGTTCATGGCAGCGTTTTACCATTAAATTGTATGAAAGACATGAAAAACAAATTCCACCGGTCCTGGTTGTGTGATGGCAAATAAAGACACGATTTAGACACTTGACTTACAAGAGTGTTCTGATGCCACAAAAATCACATCACATGACCAAAAGAATAAAGAGCATGTCAAGACCAGATAAAGAGAGTGAAGAACAAGATCAAGTAAAAGGACAGGCACAAATCTGAGTGATGAAAAAGCTTCATTACAGGTGAACTCTTTTCTGTCTGTGTCCAGCTGCTCCTGAAATCATCGGCCATAAACGAAGCGAGAACAAAAAAGAAGGAGAAAATGCGACGCTGTACTGCAAATCGGTGGGATACCCGCATCCTATGTGGATGTGGCGCAAGAAAGTGGGCCGGGGATCTTACAATGTACGTAAACAAGTCATATATATATATATTAGTATGCACTGCCGGTCAAAAGTTTGGGATCAGTAAGACTTGTAATGTTTTTAAAGAAGTCTCTTCTGCTCATCAAAGCTGCATTTATTTGATCAAAAATACAGAAAAAAACGGTAATCTTGCAAAATGTTATTACAATATAAAATAATGGTTTCTATTTTAATATCCTTTAAAATATAATTTATTTCTGTGATGCAAAGCTGAATTTTATTCATCAAAGAATCCTGAAAAAATATCACAGTTTCCAAAAAAAGATTAAGCAGCAACAGTTTCCAGCACTGATAATAAATCAGCAATTAGAATGATTTCTGAAGATCATGTGACACTGAAGACTGGAGGAATGATGCTGAAAATCCTGAAATCTGAAAAAATCAGAAAAAAATAAAATCTGAAAATGCTGATTTGCTGCTCAAGAAACATTTCTGATTATTATTGTGCTGCACAATATTTTTGTGGAAACTGTGATACATTTTATTTTCCAGGATTCACAGATGAACAAAGTTCAAAAGAACAGCATTTATTTGAAATGGAAATATTCTGTAACATTATAAATGTCTTTACTTTCAATTTTGATCAATTTAATGCGTCCTTGATGAATAAAAATATTAGTTTCTTTAAACAAAAAATCTTATTGACCCAAAAAAAAATGTGTACGGTAATGTATCCTGTATCCATGTAAAGTATGAAAATTGTCATCATTTACTCTCCCTCATGGTATGACACTGAAATCACATTGAAATGTATTTCATAGACAGCTGATGAGGTGATGATATCATGAATTACATTGATTTTCTCTTCATAGGACATTGACAACAGCACTGGCCGATTCTTCGTCATCAGCAAAGAGAATTTCACAGAGCTGAGCATCATGGGTCTGGACATCAGCACAGATCCGGGCGAGTACGTCTGCAACGCCTCAAACATCATCGGCTCCAAAGAGTCCGCGACCATCCTGCGAGTGCGGAGTCACCTCGCCCCGCTCTGGCCTTTCCTGGGCGTCCTAGCCGAGATCATCATCCTCGTGGTCATCATTGTGGTTTACGAGAAGCGCAAGAGGCCAGACGAGGTTCCAGACGGTAAGTAGTGCTCTGCTTTTAAGGATTGTTGCTAAAGGTCTTGCGGTATTATTTCCTGTAGCTGCTTGTTGAAATGCTGATCATCATTCTGATGTACACTACCACTCAAAAGTTTGGGATCAGAATGATTTTTAATGTTTTTACAGGAGTTTCTTATGCTCATCAAGGCTACATTTATTTGATCAAAAATACAGGAAAAAATTTAATATTGTGAAATATTATTATGATGTAAAATAATGTTTTTCTATTTTAATATACATTAAAATGTAATTTATTTCTGTGATGCGCAGCTGTATTTTCAGCATCATTCCTCCAGTCTTCAGTGTCACATGATCTTCAGAAATCATTCTAATATGCTGATTTATTATTAGCATTATCAACAGTTGTGCTGCCAAATATTTTTTTGGAAACTGTGATACTTTTTTCAGGATTCTTTGATGAATAAAAAGTTAAAAAGAACAGCATTTATTTAAAATAGAAATCTTTTCTAACAATATACACGATCGTTGAAAAGTTTGGGGTCAGTGAATTTTTATTTTCTTTTTTTGAAAGAAATTAAAACTTTTATTCAGCAAGGATGTGTTAAATTGATAAGAAGTGATAGCAAAGATTTATATTGTTAGAAAAGATGTATATTTTAAATAAATGCTGTTCTTTTTTAACTTTTTATTCACCAAATAATACTGAAAAAAGTATCGCAGTTTCCAAAAAAATATTTGGATAATTCTAATAATAAATCAGCATATTAGAATGATTTCTGAAGGATCATGTGACACTGAAGACTGGAGTAATGATGCTGAAAATACAGCTTTGCATCACAGAAATAAAGGATATTAAAATAGAAACCATTATTTTATATTGTAATAACATTTTGCAAGATTACTGTTTTTTTTCTGTATTTTTGATCAAATAAATGCAGCCTTGATGAGCAGAAGAGACTTCTTTAAAAAAACATTACAAGTCTTACTGATCCCAAACTTTTGACCGGTAGTGTAAGTGCTGTTATTTGGGCAGTAGATCAGAAAAAAAGTGAATTATTCTGTCACAATTATGACAGATTATAATTGTTGACATTACTGACATAAAAACATTTTTAGTGAGGCTGTACATCTAAAGTGTGTGAGAAGCTACACATGACTTTAGTAAGAATAAAGGGCAGGGATGACATATTTTTGTAACACAAACAAAAAGCCAATAGGATTTTTCCATTGGCTTTTGGATTACTGCAGAAAATAAACTGTGACCAGCAAAAGTGTGTGATTCTTATGATGTTTTGTTCGTCTTCACAAATGAAACATGAATTTTGAAGCCTTGTTAGCTGTCGCCTCTTTTTTAAGACACATAAAAGTTAAAAAATCATGAGATCTGATGCATTTTATGTCTGAGAATAAAAAGTGAAAATATATTGAGCTTGTGTTAAACAGAGACCTTATTTCAGACATTTAACCCAAAACCCATTGACTTTGGCACAGTGCAACCAGAAGTGCAAAAATACAACTCATTTCCGAGTTTTAGGATTCCTGCAGCATTCTGTTGCATGGCTAAAATGTCCAAATATTACTTCCCCAAAAGTACTGAAAGAGTCATTAATGGAATTAGAATCAGAACAGTAATTGTTCAGTTGTCTCAGCATTTATTTTCATGATCACAAATGAAAGTAAAACATTAAAACACTAATTTAAATAAACACAAATAGGCCTGTTGACTCTTAAGTGATCGCCATTGCATTCATGCTCTCAAAATTGCTGTCTGTGATTGATTATAGAGTTCAGCCACTGCCAATAACTTATTGCAAATAGAAAATCTGGATGCATCTGAAGTTGACATAAATAGACTGCTGTCATCCCTTTCACGATGACTTCTTATATCGTATATATTCAGATAATTGTGATGCACCACACAAACAGATGAAACTAGAATAATCCACGTAGGCTGTTTTGAACACTGATGCCGCCATCAATAATATATTCTGAAGCAGGTTGTTAGTGGGTCATTTACAGACGGGGCTCTTAGCGTAGTGAATATTCATGAGAGTTGAGTCAGAGGAGAGCCACTGGGAAATACTGACCTCTATGCTTGACCACGTTTTAATCTGAGACCAGATCCTCCACTAGAAAGACAAATCAGAACACTGGAGCGCCTCACATTTGTGCGCTCTTAAAGTTAATGAATAATTGATTCAGTGATCAGCTGCACACAATTCCCTTGTTTTAGTAAGAGAAACAGAAATGGTAATATTGTCCGTTTATTACAAGATTTTTGGAAGCAAGGCTGTTTCTTTTTGTTTTAAATCAATCTATTGTGATGCACCACACAAACAGATGAAACTAGAATAATCCACGTAGGCTGTTTTGAACACTGATGCCGCCATCAATAATATATTCTGAAGCAGGTTGTTAGTGGGTCATTTACAGACGGGGCTCTTAGCGTAGTGAATATTCATGAGAGTTGAGTCAGAGGAGAGCCACTGGGAAATACTGACCTCTATGCTTGACCACGTTTTAATCTGAGACCGGATCCTCCACTAGAAAGACAAATCAGAGCACTAGAGCTCCTCACATTTGTACACTCTTAAAGTTAATAAATAATTGATTCAGTCATCAGCTGCACAACGATTCTCTCGTCTCAATAAGAGAAACAGAAAGGGTAATATTGTCCGGCTATTGCAAGATATTTGGAAGCAAGGCTGTGTTTTTTTTTTTTTATCCATTCTGTCAGTCTTTCCACTTTTAAAAATAAAGGTTCCAAAATGGGGTTTTTGTAGCAATGCAATTGAAGAACCATATTGGGTTCCCCAAAGAATCTTTCAGTGAACCGTTCTTAAAGGAATGGTTCACCCAAAAATAAAGATGTGCTGAAAATATAATAAATGCTCACTCTCAGGCCATCCGAGATTAGGATGAGTTTGTTTCTTCGTCAGATTTGGAGAAATGTAGCATTGCATCAGTGTCTCAGCAATGAATGCTCTTCCACTAGAAAGACAAATCAGAGCACTAGAGCTCCTCACATTTGTACACTCTTAAAGTTAATAAATAATTGATTCAGTCATCAGCTGCACAACGATTCTCTCGTCTCAATAAGAGAAACAGAAAGGGTAATATTGTCTGGCTATTGCAAGATATTTGAAAGCAAGGCTTTGTTTTTTTTTTTTTTTTATCAGCTGTTTGGACTCTCATTCTGACGGCACCCATTCACTGCAGAGCAAGTGATACAATGCTACATTTCTCCAAATCTGACGAAGAAACAAACTAATCCTAATCTCGGATGGTCTTAGGGTGAGCACATTTTCAGCAAATATTTATTTTTGGGTGAGCTATTCCTTTAAAATAACCCTTTTTTGTAATGTAAAGAATATTTTAGTAATCTAAAGAACCAATATAAAGAACTGTTTGTGCAATGAAAAGGTTTCATGGATGTTAAAGGCTCTTCAATGCCAATAAAGAACTGTTATTTTTAAGAGTGTGGCCGCAGGGGGAAGAGCAGGAGAGGATGGGGAATCATCGGTCGGTCTAAACAGGCTCCGTTCTGAACATGTCGAGGCTGTGAGTGTGACGGTCTCTAAAGAGATGCAGTCAGGCATAGCTTCATGCTGATTTGACCTATGCAGAACCACAGAAGGGTATCTCAGAGCCAGGGGTGGCCAGACGCTACCCTTTACAGTGTGCACCGCGTTCTGGTGACTGATAACACGTGACTTACAATCTCAGTCAAACTGAGCTGCTTCTGTTGTGTGCAGCTTAACTCCAGCTAGAACTCAAGATACATACGTCTGTCTTATTTAGTCTCACTGCAGTCTTTATCAGATCCAGCATCCACCCAGTAAGTGCTTGTTTACATGTCTAGCAGTGAATTGCATAGGATGCATTGGGATTTCCAATGTACAAACTGAGCTACAGCAGGAATAGAATTACTTCCTCTATAAACATTCCTGGTTTTATAAACAATTGATCCATGCATGTTTCCAAAGGAAATGGTTTGTCATCTTGATCCCTTTACAGTGAAATACAGAGCTTGCATGATAATGGTTAAAATGATAATCATGATTATTTTGCTCAATTACACTTAAGAGGATTGTTTCTTTTTACATTATCAGAATTGTTACACTTTCACATTAAGCACAAATCAAGAAAACATCAACCCACATTGATTATTTTACCTCATCTAGTTTCCTGATGTATATTTATCATATCAATCAACACACTCTTTAAATTATGAAAACGTGTACAAGAAGGCTCTTTCAAAAGCTAAACCTCTGAAATTCCTAATATTAACTAATTAGTGTTTTTCAATTAAAACAACGACAAAAGTGAATTTGTATTGTGGCAGAGGTTGCATGCATTTGTTCAGCAACCACAATCGCAAACAATATAGTTGAGATTAATTTTCAGATTTATTTCAGTTCATCACTGAGCTTTGATCACAGATTTAGTCGCATCAAACAGCGAAAACGACAGACAAATATAGCAGACAATTATGCTTAATTAATGAAGAAACTAATTCACATTTGTAATAATATTTAAAATTATTTTTAAATTATATATATATATATATACGTATGTATATATACAGTGGTGTGAAAAAGTGTTGGCCCCCTTCCTGATTTCTTGTTTTTTTGCATGTTTGTCACACTTGAATGTTTCAGATCATCAAACAAATTTAAATATTAGTCAAAGATAACACAAGTGAACACAACATGCAGTTTTTAA